TCCGTTAACTGTCTATCAAACTTGTTTTTATTAACATCGTTATTATGATTTATTAGGACTGTGTGGGACATTGGGTCTTGAGCCAGAGGACTTAGTACCGCAAGGCTGGTACAATCACCAAGGACTGCACACGTGCGCCACCCCCCCCCCCCCCCCCCCATGAAATAAGGGGAAAAATGACCTTAGTGAGCATGTGAAACTGGGTTTCTTGAATGGGAGCCGAACATTCCTAACCGTTTAAGCAGCTGCTCTTCAAGTTCCGTCAAAATAAGAGTTTAAAAAAAAAACATCAACTGGTGTCTGTATAAAATAGAAGTAACTTAACAACAGGGCCATTAATATGCGGCTTTGGGAGAGAACTAAACTGATTTCAGTGAATCAAGAGCATGAGGACAAGTCGCTGGTTCTTAGGATACACACACAGAAGACATGTTAATAATAAAACAAGGACACACACGCGTCAGTGATTCAAACTGGCCAGATTTAAATGTGATTTCTCTCTGAAATACTCCAGTCTAGTGATTTTGTATATTCTTGTTCGTATTTGTGGTATTGTATATTCATGTAGTGTGCCAATGTAAGCTCTCTAACCGCAACGTGGACTTGTCATGTCTGTTTGTGATAATGACTGTTTCTATTTTTTGTTTGTCTTGATATCTTTTTATGATACTATTATAAAAAGAATGTCTTTGCACTGGAATACGGGGTTAAGAAAAGGTGAGTAGGTAAGTTGTACCCCACAAAGACATCACACAAGCGATGAACACCCGGTGACACAAAGTGCTACTATGCGGATAAGGATCACCAGTATAAAGGTCTCAGAAATCTCGTTCAGCCGTTAGGCCATTTTTAGGGCCCGGCAATATTTAGGGCACCCCGGCAAAAGCCTGGGTGGGGCTTCAAAATTACCTAACATTGCATCCCCAATGGGGATGACTTCAAATATATGAAAAGAAAGACAAAACATAGACAAAACAATTAGAAAGTGACACTGAGAATATTGAAAGGAAATTATTCACAGGATACTGACTGCTCCATACAAAAATTACATCAGCACCATATTCGCCGAAGCAATTGAGGGGAGATCAAAGAGGGAAGACAGATCAGACACCAAAGTGTAGAATGCTGAGTTTGGCGTAGATTGCGAAAGACAAATGTCCCAACATATGTCATTTCAAGAAAGAGAAGAAGGAAAGACAAAACCTAACATTTATACAAAAGTAAAGCCTAATTCAGTAATATTACAACAGCTAATGGTTTACCTTGTAACCCCTTCACATATTTCTGAGAGAGCACGCCACTGAGAAACGGATCTTCCCCATAGGTTTCCTGAATGTTTGAAACAGTGGAATAGTTTAAAGTTTAAGTGGAGTACATTTTCTCGCAATCATTGCTAAAAACACATACATTTGTTTATAGTTAGCTACAGCACAGATGAGCGGAAATATAGGGGCTTAGATACGTGTGTAGGTAGTTGAAGAAGTATGTGGCTCAATAAGTTAATTATTTACCATTAACACTTAAAGTAACGGTAAGTGAAGTGAAGTCCGGAGATGTGAACCAGCGTCGTTGTACACGGTTATAAACCATAAGTGCTCTGCCACCAGTATGGACAGCTGATAAGAAACTGTACACCTGCGTCGCCGTCCGCCCGAAACTCCGTAGCTACAGCGACGTTCCTTCATTTAACCCAGAGTGTTAACTCTGGTTTCCATTTTTTAGAGGCTGGGTGAACCCCGGGAATCGCCCAGTTTCGAACATCGGCTGTGCGCTGCAGCAAGTCGCAGCTGGATTTGAAAGCGAATCTCCTATCGACTGCACTAACGCAGCCTCTGTAGTAAATCTCATTTTACGGTAGGTACGTATTAAAACGTCCATTTACATGCCAATGGCGCATCAGGCCTTTGAGTCTAGACTTGTATTATAGTAAATCAATTTTACAGACCCTCGACTGTTGATGTGGTCAGCATCATGCCGGCCGCCTTTACCTTCCGTGACTTTACCTGGTTCTCATGGAAGTCTGCGTCGACCTAGGAGCCAAGGTCATGTTACTAACACTTTAAACTTGACTTATTTTCAAACCAAACCGGACTTTAAAAAACCCATCTACATACTTTCCAAATCAAACTGGATGATTCTGAAGCAATTTTTTATGGTTTTCAAACCAATTTGCAAGATTTTAAAACCACACAGGACGAGTTTTAAATCAAACTAGATTTTTTCCCAGACAACGGGACGGTGTTTAAATCAAACTGGACGATTTTCACACCTCCTAAAACTTTTTTTTTTTAAATTTAAATCTTGCTAGACGATTGTCAAACCACCTAGGACGTTTTTCAAATCAAACGATTGTTTTCTTTTTCTATTCGCAATGGACATGGTGTTTTCGAACTTCGCGGAGCTTCCGAAAAGGTTTCAGAGAATGGAAAGATGTCGGTAGCACCTTTTCTTATTTTTTTACCATTTCTTTCTTGCATCTCATTTTATAAAATTGTAAACAGCAGATGGAAAAGCAATAGTAAACACACACACGCGCGCGCGCTTACACACACACATATGATGTTGGGTTGACTGACAAAGTGATAAGGAAGAGGATCAACTAGCAAGCTTCACAAACACACATAGGAGATATGTTTGGATAAAAAAAGAAGCTGGGTTGAACTTATTCAAGAATCGACATCACTGCACTCGGGGCATTCTTATAAGCGCTCCGTTCTCATGTTCAGCAGCCAGCGCAGTTCCAATACCAATGTTGCCAGTAGTAGTCTGATTATATGTCCGTCTTGCCTTTGCTCGGATCGTAGAGTATCTGCCAGATCCAGTCATGCGCATACCTTGTAATGGAAGTACAAGCGGTCACTGTAGCTTTCCGCTAACTAGAGGACACGATACAAGCTCCCATCGTGACTGTAAGACTCAGAAAACATGCTGACGAAGGTGAGGTTAGGCAGGCGTCGTGCAGAGTGGCATGCTTCGCTTCGGAGGTCAAGGGCGAATAGCACTGGGGTCTTTTCTCCTGGGATGCCGGTGTGTTGGGAAATGAACAGCCGGACAGACTGGCTGGCTCTGCACAACTTTGTGGAATGCTGATGCATGATGAGGCAAACATGATTTGGGCCTTGTGGGAGAGCGTGTACAATTCAGAGGAGCAAATGGATCACCGCAGTCTGGCAAGATTGATGCAGCGAGGAGTGTCTGTACAGGAAAGCAGTGACCATTTGCTTTTCGTCGTGGTAAATAATGATGTTTACATAGACCTATCTTACTGTACATACATAGGTACATACCCATATCCGGCCCCAGCGGGGGTCCCGGACGATGTTGATGACAGGGCTGAAGCAACTGGCTCCCGTGTGGCTGCCAAAGACCCCTCTTTTAACAAAATCATTGTGTTTACCTCTGACCTCTGTACCGATAGCGGCTGCTACTCTGAACATGAGACTTGGGCTGCAATATATATATATATATATATATATATATATATATATATATATATATATATATATATATATATATATATATATATATATATATATATATAATATATCCCGCTATATATATATATATACATATATATATATATATATATATATATATATATATATATATATATATATATGTATATATATATATCGAATATACAAATATATATGTATCGACATACACGTTCGTTGGTGCTACCTCAAAGTTGTGTAAGGGATAAATCTTTTGTTTCCAGAAAATTGCATTTGAACATTAAGATGAAATGGTGAGAAGTCACGTGAAAAGTAATATTTCCAGTTATTTATCGAAGTTAGATACGAATCCTTTACAGGACGTTGCAGAAACAACCCCAGCATTTATTAGCTGTTGTGGTTTTTTTAAGGCAAATTTTACGGTCAGTAGTTTGCCATTGCTACTGAACGGTCAGCTCTTGGTACTACTGTCGAAACAAGCACAAGACAATCGTCTGCAGCTGGAATCGAACCCGGCACCCTGGCATTACAAAGCGCGTTCGCAACGCATAGACCACAGACGCCAACAGTTGATCTATATGAAGTAGAAATTCATACGTGCGCCTCTGCCATATTGTAAAGGTTACAAATAACAGTTCTGAAAATGTATTTAGGTGAAAATCGCCAAATTTACACTTAAGCGACTCTGGCGTAGTTATGGTGAAAACAACTGTGGTCGTAGGGAAGCTGAACATGGAAATGCAGATTATGGAATAAGTTAAAACGTGTGACATAGCTTGGCCATAAAAACAGAGATGATACTACTCACAAAACATTAGATTAAACAGTATTAAAAGTCCATGGTTAAGCACCAGCAAAGAAATCAAAGTCAAAATTTTGAGATAATGCATCTTTCCTGTAAAAACATACGGATGTTGATCGTAGATTTTCATTAACAAATGAAGAAAAAAAATGGTCTGAAATGCTTTAGAAATATTCCCAGAATACCATCGACAAAAATGAAAAGAATTACTGACCTCCTGAACTGAAAGATCTGAACACCAAGGAAGATTGGCTAGTAAACAGCATATTGTCTAGGAAACTGAAATATTTTGACCGCATCAAGCGTCACGGCGGTATAGAGGAAATAATAGCACAAGGCATTGTTTCATGAAAGGACAGGGGTTGACCAACACGAAAATGGACACACGATATAAGTGCAACGGGTAGGAAACAGCACTAGGGGAGAGCTGGCGAGTCTGATGAGAGGGACTTTTTGCAAAGGACCTGACAGAAGATGACGTCCTCGTGATAAAAAGCATGTAAATCTCATCTTATTTCATATTATCTCAGCTTATTTCATATTATCTTATCTTATTTCCTAATATCTCAGCTTATTTTTCATATTATCTCATCTTATTTCCTATTATCTCAGCTTATTTCATATTATCTCAGCCTATTTCATATTATCTCATCTGATTTTCTATTATCTCAGCTTATTTCATATTCTCTTATCTTATTTTCTATTATCTTTGCTTATTTCCTATTATCTTAACTTATTTCCTATTATCTCAGCTTATTTCATCTCATTTTATTTTCTATTATCTCAGCTTATTTAATTTTATCTCATCTTATTTCCTATTATCTCAGCTTTTTTCATATTATCTCATCTTATTTTCTATTATCTCAGCTTATTTCATATTATGTCATCTTATTTTCTATTATCTCACCTTATTTCATATCATCTCAACTTATTTCCAATTATCTCAACTTATTTTCTTTTATCTCAGTTTGTTCCTCTCGCACTTTGCGGTTTCCATGCAGCGTATAGAAAACAGGAAAGTTTCCGTTTGTGTGTCACTGTGGCATTCTGGGTGTTTGCAGCTGAGTTCATGACCAAATCATTTAAAGTTTATATTTCTTCTAGCAGTAGAAATATTCCCTGCCGACTTGCTAGTCCTGCTGTTTGTAAAAAAAAAAGGGCCCCCCCCCCCCCCCCCCCCACAAAAAAGACCTAGATAAATCCATCCATACTGGATGAACAAATTTGAAAGACAGGTGAAAAGAGGTAGATAACAATGTCAGTTAGTTAGTTAGTTAGTTAGTTAGTTAGTTAGTTAGTTAGTTAGTTAGTTAGTTAGTTGGGTTATCCTCATTGCACTCCGGACATGTCCATAGGTGCTCAGATCCTTCCCCCAGTATGAACCCCAACGTCCGATGGCTAATAGTACCAGTTCTATGTTGATTAACAAGTCTTCTGGCGTGTCTGGTGTGCGTCTCGTTTTTTGCTGTGCCGATCTTAATTCCCAAGTCTGCCATTCTGGCGAGTGATGTGGATTCACTGCCACCAAAGTCCTCTATCCTTACCATTTCTCTGAGGGCATTGATAATATCAGCATGATCCATAGGCTGACCGTCGGTAGTGATAGCGGATCCAGCCAACCTGTCAGCTCTTTCATTTCCATCGACGCCTGCGTATCCCGGTACAAAGATAAAGGTGACTCCACGCACAGTGGACTTCTGTAATGATTCAAGCCATTGTCTTTGCACTGAACCTGCCTGAACCCTCCGGATCATACTCATTGAATCACTGAGTATACACACGCGGGTGTATTTTTGTGTAACGATGTCAGTGTAGAAAGTTAACATAAAAAGGACTAACAGCAGTTTGTCCAAGTGTCAATGATAGCAAGAAAATATTGTAGGTCAACCGCAGTTTATTAATATCGCGGACATGACATTTGATAGAAACATGCCATGAAACAGTTACCTAAAACTTGCAGACATTCCAATGGGTTCTGGAAATGCCGTAGCATTTTCTGGAGCTCTAGCGGCGCCGCTGATACATTCCGAGTCCCATTGATAAGCCCCGATCCCTGAAACAGTCATTGAAAACAAAAGTGCAAACGAAGTTTCTGAAGTAAATCACCTGAAGCTTATACTGCAGGCAACAACAACAGAACAAACACATCACACTACAATCACCATCGTCAATAATAACTACTGATTATAACACTTCTTTTTTTCTTTTGTCGTCTCAATGATACCAGGTTGTAGCCCAGTGTGGAGGTTTTGTCGTCTCAATGATACCAGGTTGTAGCCCGGTATCGTGGTTTTATTGTCTCAGTGATACCAGGTTGAAGCCAAGTGTCGTGATTTTGTCGTCTCAGTGATACCAGGCTGTAGCCCAGTATCGTGGTTTTATCGTCTCAATGATACCATGTTGTGGCCCAGTATCGTGGTTTTATCGTCTCAATAATACCAGGTTGTAGCCCAGTATTGTGCTTTTATCGTCTCAGTGATATCAGGTTGTAGCCCAGTACCTTGGTTTTATCGTCTCAGTGATACCAGGTTGTGGCCCAGTATCGTGGTTTCATCGTCTCAATGATCCCAGGTTGTAGCCCAGTATCGTGATTTTATCGTCTCAATGATACCAGGTTGTAGCCCAGTATCGTGATTTTATCGTCTCAATGATACCAGGTTGTAGCCTAGTTTCGTGATTTTATCGTCTCAGTGACACCAGGTTGTAGCCCAGTATCGTGATTTTATCGTCTCAATGATACCAGGTTGTAGCCCAGTATCGTGATTTTATCGTCTCAATGATACCAGGTTGTAGCCCAGTATCGTGATTTTATCGTCTCAATGATACCAGGTTGTAGCCCAGTATCGTGGTTTTATCGTCTCAATACCAGGTTGTAGCCCAGTATCGTGGTTTTATCGTCTCAATGATACTTGACTGTCGCTTAGTGTCGTGGTTTTTTTTTTTCTGTATATCTTGCGATAATTTGGAAACAGACGGTTTTGTGTGGATTTCAACAAAGGTATGCTTGTGGTACCTTTAGGCAAGCAATGGCAAACTACGGAACATATAGTTGCCCATAAAATCACGTAGCAGAAATGCTAAGATTATTTTGTGAAGCCTAATTCTTCTTCTACCTTTCTAGCCTCCAATGGAGCATAGGTCCTCAACCAACCCACGCCGTCGTTCTATCCTTTGCTATTGCATGCAGCTTTCCCTTCCTATGTCCTCTCCATATTTTTAACTTCATTCCAGGTGCCAATTCTGGAGGTTTTCCTAGGTGAGAGGAGGTATTTCGACGATCCGGACTCCTTTCTGTTGTCTCTACACCGTGTTATACCTCTTCTACTCGAAGAGCCTCTTCTCGTCTTGGTTGGCTGGGTTTTACTTGCTTCTCTGTTTTGACTTATCCATGGTTGGTTAGTTTTTGTGGCTATTGTTTTTACAGGATGGGGTACCCAACCTCAAGCCCTACCCTTCCCTGAATCGCCTCTTACGACATGCCTGGTAAGGTGCAGTGTAACTATTCTTTGCTTCCCACGAGGGCCCTGAAAGTCTAATTAGAAGCAGACAAATAGGTTTTTCAAGCATCTTTATCCATTACAGAAATGTCTGGGCAACCACTAATATCAACATTTATAAGACATAGAAGATGGCGCTTCATTTAACACGTTCTGAGAAAAGGCGAACACAGATCAACAGACAATCAATGAGATGGAAAATATAGGAATTGAGGAAACTAGGACGTCCAACAGAAACCTTCAGTTTTTCATGTTGTGACTACCCCCAACCATACAATTATTTCCGTTGCTACTTCAATGAATATGTGTTTTCTGGTGGTCTTAGGCGACCCTTGTGAAAGGGTCGTTTAACCCGAAAAAAGGGTTGCGACCCACTGGCTGGGAACCGCTGATTTATGGAATGGAAGTGATTGCACATGACATAAGTTCTATCTCTCTATTTCATTCAATAAGAACGGAAAGAAGTTGACTACGAGCACTGAGTGTCACACATAATGACACAACATAACAATAAATGGATTTAACCATTTTCGGTTATATAGACAAAACGCCCGGCTCTCTAGCGTAGTTGGCTAAACCGTACTGCGCGGTGATCAGGTGACGAACTCCTTGTGGTCCGGGTTCACTCTCCGGGGTAGGCAGAAAAGCCACATTTTCTCCCAGATTTACGGCACCTATCATGGAATCAAGGCCGAAAGGTTGCGATATCCATAGTACCGAGCCAAAGGGTTAACAACTTATGGATTCTGGATATTAAAAAAAAAATATTGTCAGAACATATTTACCTAGGCGAGGGATCGCCGGTGCTGGGCCGCCCCTCTCTCCAACTCCACCGCGAGCCATCTGCACTTGCATCTCCTCAAGGGTCAACCTGGACACCAGGTCATCGACCCGCTTCTCCCATGACAGACTAGTGTCTTGGAAAGGATACGTCTGCCCGTTCACAACCCGGTCCAGACTACAGAGAAACAGTACACAGAACATGTACTGGAGAACCATCGTTGTGTGTCGTCCGATGTGATTCAATGGCTGTGGAAACAAGACGACAGTCAAGTTAATCCCCATGAGAGAAATATACAATATGTGATTTCAGGAGAGCAAAAGGCATTGTGGCATTTGACTTTTCGATATACAATGAAATAAACAGAAGAAAAAGATGGCGAAGAAAAAGATGAAGACAAAAAGTAGTAGTACATTTGTAGTAGTATCAGCAGCAGCAACAACAACAGCAGCAGAAGTGGTGGTAATAGTAGTAGAAACAGAAGCAGTAGTAGTTGTATAAGAAGAAGCAGAAGCAACATAATCAGCAGCAGCAGCAGAAGAAGAAGAAGAAGAAGAAGAAGAAGAAGAAGAAGAAGAAGAAGAAGAAGAAGAAGAGGAAGAAGAAGAAGAAGAAGAGGAAGAAGAAGAAGAAGAGGAAGAAAAAGAAGAAGAATAAGAAGAAGAAAGAAAGAAAGAAAGAAAGAAAGAAAGAAAGAAAGAAGAAGAAGAAGAAGAAGAAGAAGAAGAAGAAGAAAGAAGAGAAGAAGAAGAAGAAAAGAAAGAAAGAAAGAAAGAAGAAGAAGAAGAAGAAGAAGAAGAAGAAGCAGAAAGAAGAAGAAGAAGAAGAAGAAAACAGTATACTGTCCAGACTGTAGATCATAAACACCTACTGTCTACGAATAATTTGATGATCTCACAGTTTTTATCTGTCTCAAGGACTGCAAGGTTTGCTTTCGTATAATTTCCATTCCATACTTTGCATTATTTAAAAAAAAAAAAAACACACACAAACTCCGCTTTGGGTCAAATATAAAACTTGTCACAACCACAGCTATGTATAGAGATAAGAAAACACCTACCGCGATTCCAATCTTTCAGGGAGCACGTTATCCCACATTTAAACACATCAATCAAACAATTCCCTTAAATATAACATTCAAGCGAACGTCGCTGACGTAGCAAGGTTATTTTTATTCACAGATTGTTACTGGACAAATATTTTTTGAGCGGTTATATATTTCAGCAACAAAAATTCCGGTGATGCGTCAGGTGTTTGAAATGTTTCTACACAAGGTCATTCTAATGAAAGCCCATCAAACCTTGACATTATAGCAGCGAATCTTTTCCTGATCGTTCACCGGCCTTTTTCGACTACGTCTGCTCTCGTTCTAGGACTTTTGAGTTTGACAGACCTGGTGTCTTCGTTTGCAGACCGTTGGTTCCTTGCCTCTAAAACAGATGTACTCCGAATTCTAAGGAAACGTCGACCCTATTCACACTGGCACGGATCCCGGTTAGGATCCGGTTTCTGGGATGACCATCCACAGGTGTGGAGCTGTCTGGTCCAGTATAAGTCCGTGGTCATGATGTCTGATTCAGCTCATCTGTAGCTCACGAATGTAAAGTGGAGCTGCATCCCACGAGCTTCTTGTCTTATTTCTTGGGTTTTCCACTACAGAGGTAGCACATATTTTGGCAGAGGCAGCACAGATTTTGGCAGGGGCATCACATATTTTAGCAGGTGTAGTAAATATTTTGGTAGGCGTAGCACATATTTTGGAACAGAAGGACATCTTTTTACGGGGGTAGCACACATTTTGGCAGGTGTAGCACATATTTGGCAGGGGCAGCAGAAATGTTGCCAGATGCAGTATACATTTTGGCAGGTGTAGTATATATTTTGGCAGGTGTAGTATATATTTTGGCACGTGTAGTATATATTTTGGCAGATGTAGTATATATTTTGGCAGGTGTAGTAAATATTTTGGCAGGTGTAGCACATATTAGGCAGGGGCAGTAGAAATGTTGCCAGGTTCAATATACATTTTGGCAGGTGTAGTATATATTTTGGCAGGTGTAGTATATATTTTGGCAGGTGTAGTATATTTTTTGGCAGGTGTAGTATATATTTTGGCAGGTGTATTATATATATATATAAAACACACACAATGTATCGGAAGAAACTATTCGCATTTCAGTTCAATTTATTCAGTTTTGTGCTTTAGTTTATGTTGATGTAACTCTGTAGTAACGCACCTGATGAGATACAGCGAAATATACCTGGCAATAAATTGTGCACTGTATTGTTTGTATCCGCATTATTTAAATTCATTACGGGAAAACATTGTTTTAGAAATGTTAAAAGCTCTGGCATGGTGAAATATACAACACGCGGTATCAGCGCGAGTGCTGAATATCCCCGTGACCTTGTATGAAAGTCGGATGGCTCAAAGCCGACCTATCAGTGGGAGGTGGTATGTAGGTCGTTCAATCAGAAGCGAGCTAGTGTGTAGCAGTGTGTAAATGGGCAGACCCGTGTAACATTTACCCAAAATTCAATAACTTCACCTCAAACGGTTACTGAGCAGGAAAAAAAAGGGGGGGGGGAGGGGAGGCACAAACAGATCATTGGTATAATCCACGATAACCTCCCCACGGTACAGACTAGCTCGCTGCTAATTGGTCGGTCTTCAGTTACCCGACCTTTGCACACCGCTAGGGGTGGGGAAGGGGGAGGGGTCTTCTGCAATCCGTTTATATCGCCTTTTTTTTTTTTAGCACGCGCCGCTTTCAACACTACAAAAACATTTACAAACTGGGTCTTTCCCACAACTCCCCCTAGAGAGTGCTGCAACCTATGTGACAGGCATTCTATTTTTTTGAAAGAAAAAGGTAAATGCAAGACAAGCCTGACCATCCCCCCCCCCCACCCCACCCTAAACAGCAGACGAGTCTAAAAAATATGGAAAGCGACCTAGTTCGGCTGGGGAGATTATCGTGGATCTCACCCAGATCATCATGTAGTTTAAAAAGTCATCCCATGTGGGTTGCAATATTTTTTTTATCTGAAGCCCTACCCTGGCTTCTGCAGGGGGCCCTGAATATAGCGGGCCATAAATCTGGCCTAGCCATAGATATGGCGTAACGGCTGAAAGGGGTTTCTGGGACCTCTCCACTGGTGATCCTCATCCGCATGGTGGCACTTTGTGTCACCGGGTGTTTATCGCTTGTGTGATGTCCTGGTGGGGTACAACTACCTACCTACCAACAAAGGATCACAGTCTTTAGAGAATGGTTCAGCGAGGCGTGACCAGAGGACCTGGCTGACGCTCAACACGGGCAGGACAAGCAGGACATACTGGAACTCTGCGCTTGCTGCTGAAAATAAGGACGGAGCACTTATGGAAATGTCCCGAGTGCTTTGATACCGGTTCTTAGCTCGTGAATCATAATTTAAAAAAAAAAGTTATTAAGAAATATGAAACACCTGAATCAAGGTTTGAAAATATACATAGATAAGCAAAAACCAAACACACAAACGAACCAACAACAACACAAAAACAACTCGTAGATAAGGAAATGTTTGTAAAACATAAATGCCCCTGAAATATCTGGGTCACGGGTACGATTATGGTTGACAGTTTGTTTGTTTAGAAAACTAAGTCAAAGTTTGTCGTGTGGACCAACTTTTTTGCTCTGGGTATTTCTATATAGCTCGGTCTCTGCAGATTGGCTAACCACCTCCCAAGAGCACTGCACAAAGCGCGAACTCGGTAGCTCCAGCGGTGATCACCAGCAGTCTCCGTCAAACCTGCAGTGGTAAACCGAACGTCGCATCCGTGTCAGGAACTCACGATCTTCAGATCGCGAGGCAAACGGCTTGACCACTTCGCCACAGAGACCCCCACCCCACTCCTAATCATCTTTGTCAACCATCACTTTCCTGATGTGCTAATTTTTTATCACAAATGGCTCGCCGTCTATTTCTCATTTCTGCTCTATACCATGCAATCAGTTCAATATCATGGATGGGATGTAGGCCAGCAGCTTTGGCCTCCCTCGTCAACGTTGGTGTTAGGCTCTTCCCCTAGTGCCATATAATAACTAACAGACGTTGGTGTTAGGCTCTTTCCCCCAGTACCATATAATAACTAACAGACGTTGGTGTTAGGCTCTTCCCCTAGTGCCATATAATAACTAACAGACGTTGGTGTTAGGCTCTTCCCCTAGTGCCATATAATAACTAACAGACGTTGGTGTTAGGCTCCTTCCCCCAGTACCATTTAATAACTAACAGACGTTGGTGTTAGGCTCCTTCCCCCAGTACCATTTAATAACTAACAGACGTTGGTTTTAGGCTCCTTCCCCCAGTACCATTTAATAACTAACAGACGTTGGTTTTAGGCTCCTTCCCCCAGTACCATTTAATAACTAACAGACGTTGGTGTTAGGCCCCTTCCCCTAGTATCATTGAATAACTGACAGACAACGTTGCTCTCTCTAATGCGTTAATCTCAGTGTCAACACCACTACGGCCTTGAACTTGGAACCTGCTTACTAAACACTTATCTGGTCTCTGTTTTACAGTTTTAACTGGCGTACAAGATCTATATGGATATCTTTCTTTATTTTATTTTGTTTTTACACTTAAAATAAGACGGGTGAGGTGTTGAACGAGTAGAATGTACAGGGAAAAAAGAAGAGACACAAAAGGAGGGAAAACAGAAGTGAAGAAAGGGAAAAAAGGGGGGAGGGGGGGGGTGAGAAAGTATTGCGAGCGGCAGCAGAGGAAGATTAGAATAAAAATAATTATGTAGAAAAAACATGTATTGCATCTACCTCAGAAGCAAGAAAGCAACAGTCTGTATACAATTAAGTCAGATCTGTGAAACGGATGTGCACGCAAAACTCAAGTTCTGGAGCAAGACTAGTCTAGAACACCGGTTTCAAACTGGGTGCAGTGGCACGCAGGGGTGCCGCGAGCGTATGCCAGGGGTGCCGCGAGAGTATGCCAGGGGTGCCGCGAGCGTATGCCAGGGGTGCCGCGAACGTATACCAGGGGTGCCGCGAACGTATGCCAGGGGTGCCGCGAGCGTATGTCAGGGATGCCGCGAACGTATGCCAGGGGTGCCGCGGCAGTAATAAAATATTTTTTTCATATTCTGCTTGAGAGCAGCGAAAACAGCAGTTCAAAACAGAAATACCGCGAAGAAAGCCAAGAAGAGTTCTGGATACAG